GATGGCAATGGATCGCCGATCAATCTTATTGCGCAGCTGACAGCTCTGAAATCCTCCTATGGAAGTATACAGGACTGGCTTGACAGCAGTGGCCATGACCTGCATCCGCAGCTGCTTACTGACTTGGACGTGCTCACCCACTCGTCCGATGAGCTTTCACGCCACGTAAACTCGCTCATCAAGACCTTTCAGCAATCGGACTTGCGTGCCGCTGATTTTGCAGCCAAGCTTAAGTATGCGCTTGCTAGCAGGACCATGGGCCGACTGCAGACGGTTGCGCAGAGACAAAATGATGCTGTGAACCTACTAGTTGCAGCATGTCACTGGTGAGTTATTTAACCAGCCAGCCTCTAACGTATCAGATTCCTAACAAGCAACAGCACAGCACAGGCACAAAGAAAGATTTTGCTCCACAAGAGTCGCCAAATCAGGCAAGAGGACGTTGCAAATCTTAAACTACTTTCACAGTCCTCCAGATGGAGTAGTGGCTGCATAGCAGGACTTACACAGCTGTCATGCTTCGTTCAGTGGCTAAAGCTCCTGTTCAACAAAAAGTCTTCGCAAAATCCACTCGACAGGAACATCTCGCCTAGCGATGCAAACTACGAGCACATCGAAGCAATCAATCGATCAGAAGCAATCGACCGTGCGCTGCAAAGAGAAGCCACTAACCTCCGTCATGAGACCAAGCTCATTCTTGTAGGCAAGATCAACAGTGGCAAGGACCTTTTGATGCATCAATTGAAGACGATATATGCAGAGGGCCATCAACCTGCCAATGAACGCATCAAGCACCGGTGCCAGATTATCCAAGTGGTCTACTCTCTCATGCAGTCCATGGCCGATTTGCTCAAAGACACTGGTGTGTCCCTGCCGTCCGAACTGAACCAGCATTTCGCTACCCTACTCAACGAGCTGGAAGCTGGTAATGAAAGCATCACACCAGATGCGGCCAAGGCCATTGATCGCCTCTGGTCGAGTTCTCAGTTTTCAAAACTGTATGACCATAACTTCGAGATTGACTTCCCCCAATATGCACCATACTTTGCGCAAGAAGTCGCCCGCATAGCTGATCAAGACTATGTTCCTACAGAAGCGGACATCATTCGCTTGAACCAATCTATGCGCGGCATCAAGGAGCTGCGTTTCAACTGGGATGAATTGGATATTCATCTTTTCAATATCAAGGAGGGGTTTCCCGATCAATTCCGGGATCGCTGGTTCCATCAGCTTGAGGGAGCGGCTGCGCTCATGTACACCATTGATGTATCCCTGTACGACAAGCCGAGCCCCACGCAACCGAACGAGTCGCTCTTGATGGACGAATTCAGAAGCTTTGAAAGCTGGATCAGTCAGCCCGGATTTTCAACCTCTTCCATCATCATAATATTCAACAATTATACTCGCTTTACCAGGAAGATGCCACACTCGCCTCTGGAGAAGTTTTTCCCGGATTACTCACCCAGCAAAAGCGAGCCCGAAATATCCGCGAGGCAATACATCATGCGCCATCTCAAAACCGTCAACCACCGAGGTCTATTTTTCTATTCCTTCTGGGTCGATCTCGATACCAGTGACAACAAGCAGTTGTACTCGGCGCTCAAGACAACACTATCACAAATACAGCAACGCAGGACGCAGGAAGAAGCCCAAAGTTCGACCCGTCCAACGCCAGACTCGGAAGGACACTCGAAAACCAGCTTGTCTAATTTTGTTCGGACCTGTAGTCTGAAGAAGAAAGAGGTGACTGAGATAAGTTGAGCAGGTCGGTTTGTTGTGGTGTTGATGAACCAATAATGTTTTGTTTGCAGTTTTTGGGTTATGGCGTCTCTGGATACGAAGATACCATGGTGGCGGGTCGGCGTTCTTGCGGAGATGGGCGAGCATGTGGCGACCGGTCCCGCCCACAACCGAAAGGATTGGGGCGAACAATGCCATCAGGTGTTTGACACAGCCAGTGCATATACCCCAGAATGATTTGTCAATGTTTAGTTGTAATTTCCATCGCTCAGCCACACAACGTTCCAAGGCAGCATTTGCAGCATTTCCCCGTGACTCTGTATTGACCCACACAGGTACGATTGGATGAGAGTGCTCGCTCTTGTATAACACCTACTCGTATGTTGAACAAAGTCCACGCGACTCGTCTTGGCAATGCTACATTTGCTGGCACATCAGTTACCGACGATCGGAATGCTTGCATTCAATGACATGCGCGTCATGCGTTCCTACATACAAGTTCTGGGCCAATGGCATGATGGCGATGCCTGATGCTACACCACAAGTGTTGATTCACTGTGCGTTAGCAAATATGTGATAAGTCTCACCGTCGTCCAAGGCAGCCGTACTCGTCCCATGATGGTATCGACTTTCCCCTCGGCAACTAGGCTACAACCAAGTTCTATATTTGGTTGTGGTGATTAGATAGGATTACCAACGGCCCGGTCGCAACCTTGTTTCCGATCGCTGGTGACACCGTCTCCGTGGCGAAGTCGAACGACAAAGAAGAAAATAAACGAGACTTGTTTTGAGGTGACATTGAGATACATGCAGCTTTGTGCCATTTGGTGCTGGAAAAGGCGGAGTGAGATTCGTGTTGCCCCTGCTTATGCATCATCTAGTCCACTACCATGGCAGACTAGTGGCTGACGGCCTTAGACCGCCACAAACATAGCCTCTTTGTAGCTCAACGTTTTTCCTCCACTGCTCGTGCCCACTGTTTCAATGCACTTCTCCACACCCATCGCCATTCATGTGACAAATCCCATCTGTCGTCACCTCCCCACAGGCGGTATGTCCGGCCCTGCTGCTGGCGACATGCTCCACGTCACCCACCGCAGCTTCGCCTGCTCGCGTGGATACTCTTTCATGACGGATCATGCTCGGGGCGCTCTTCCGCGATGATTCAGCAATCCGAAACTCCAGCTTCTCTCGCCTAGCGCACCCAATACAGCAGTAACTAATCACGGATCGTTTAGTGATTGAACGGCTACGCGGCATCGAACCGGCATACAGCTTGTGCTTGTAACGTGGCTGGCCAGCATGACTAAGACCCCAGAACATGTGCTATGCAATTCCCCAAGTCTCTGATGATCCGATCTCACCATATTGCGGCGACAATAAGGTTAAGGTTGACGGCGGCAGGATCACAATCTGCATTACTTGCTTCTGTCTGTCATTTGGTCCAGCTACTATTTTGGTAGTGTTTATTCAGCAGCGCTTAGAAAAGGCCTGATGGCAGAGGCAAGCTGCAGACGTGTTTCGCTTAGCAAGTGTGGCCCCCATTGTTAAGTCCAGGGGATTCTGTGTTGTTCGAATGTAACCTTGCAACGTTCATTTGGAAACTGATCAGCGGCTCAAAAGCAAGCCCTTTTCAGCACATTTCGTGCACATCATTTCCATACTCCGGTTCCCATTCGTACCTGCTGGCGCCATGAATCCCCCTAGTACCACACTACCGTCAGAGTCATCGCAAAGAGGTCGCCAAAGGACAAGGCAGTCAGGAGAGAGCGCAGAAGCAGCCGTAAAGCCTAAGAAAGTCAATAGCGAGATCCGAAAGCAACAAAACAGAATCGCTTCGCGTAACTACCGTACGTTGCTCTCAAAGGCAGTCTTTGTATCTCATCTGACTTGTCTTATCGCAGGTGAAAAGCGTAAACGGAAGCTTCAGTATCTCCAACAGTTGATCAGTGATGAGACAGACGACCACCAGGGACATGAGCCTTCTTCCGAGCAACAAGAAACGTATACGCCCTCACATTCAAGAAACCATAGCACCATAGGGTCAAGCTTATCGCCTTACCAAATGCCTTCCATACCTTCCAACAGTGACCTCAGCTCTCTAGGTGCCAGGAGTAAAGCTTCACAGACCCCTACTATGGTAACCACAACCACATCTTTTGGTGGTCAACATGGTACCACATCACACGCATATGGTGTCTATTCTTCAAACTGGAACGCGAACCCCTACTCTCCACCCCCACCTCCTCCAGCAAACACTGCCTGGAACGTGCCACCGGCTTGGACGCTGGGCTTTGAGCATACTGTCCAGACCTCTCCACAGCCATCGTTGTACCACTACAGTCCTGAGCCTCCAGCATCCATAGCATATCATCAGCAAGCACAAAATCTATCACAACAATCACAAGAGTACCTCTCCAACGCATACATCTATGGATACGGCTCGTCACCCAGGCCTCAGCACCAGGTAACCCACAATCCCCATGTGAGTTTGCCTACCTCCGCACCTGATTACCAGCGACATCACCCCCGACCGCACTGAGGTTCGCAACATGCCCATCTGCGGTAAACCCGGCGCAGAAACCGTGCATGCTGACAGAAAAAACAGTTTCCGATTGGACACGATCCCTTTACGTTTGAACGATTCGTTTATATTTGAACACCAACAGCTCACACTACTCATATGATCACTCCTTTAAGGAAAGAAACAACACTCGAAACATGCGTCATATTTACCGCCCAACGGTGCGAGTGGACAGAGTAAGACGAGGATTACGTTGCAAAAGCTACGGATTTAGGGCGGCTATGTGGAGACGACCACACTTCAGCTGAACTGCCCACTGAATCGGCATCAGCTCACCCGACATGGCTATGGGAATGTTTCACACGCCCTCCAACAGAGGTATCTTACCCCTCGCAACATCGCAACGCGCACTACCCGCGATGCTTACGCCAAGAGAACGCTACGCCTGAGTACAACACCATACAATATGCAAGACATAGCGTAGGGGGGGCGGGGGGAGCAACGGCAGTATGTGACTCAAGAGCTACGGAAAACAATATGCGTATTAGTCACAAAAGTACCGAAAACTTATTGCGAACTGCCGAGGAGCCCTAGTGTTCGACTGAAGTTCCATGTGTCGAGTCTAGACTGCAGATGCAGCTGAAAAGACGTGGACGAGAGACCTAGCCAGCATGAAGGGATCCTGACGTCAGCTGACCCCCATTCCTAGGGGGCCCGTCGTTCCCCACCAGACAAAAATGCACCCTCCCCGCTCAGTTTCAGAAACAGTGGTCGAGATGCAGGGTGCGCTGTGCGTGTGTGGCTGCGACTCCAGACACAACTGACTCGAGTTGATTGCCGAACCAGAACTGCCAACAGTAGTGTACGCCCCCACAACCCATGCAAGACCGGTGTGTGGAAAATAGATTAAGCGTCGTTGCTTCGTCACTACCCATATTTATGGCTACATGGACATACTGGGCTAAATGGGCATCATCCACATAGACTGAACAACTTCATCTCGCAACATCTTGTCGTTCATCCGGGCTATTTGCTCCGGGGTGATCGCAAGTAGGATGCCTACACATCCCAAAGATTATGTATATTGAAAAGCAAAGGACTTCGAGTTGTATTTCTGTCAGACACGAATATTTCACCACTGAGGCGTCTGTAGAATAGGCATGTTTAGTATCAGTTTTTTTTTAAAAAAACAGAAAAGGGGAGGGGGAGGAGAGAGAACGGTGGGATTACACAGGTCACCTTGAACTTACGATTTTTTTGCAGACGAGAAGACATGTAGAATGTATACGTGTAAGAGATTGAAATCGAGAAAATTTGTCTGTACGTAGATTAGTAGAGGAGTGTCGAGTCAAGAATAAAGATGTGTGTATTGTAATGTCGAGTTTGATTCATTCTTTCGTCACTTTGATTCCTGGCAAGGCAAAAAAAAAGAACTTCACGGCTTGGATGATTGATGAAATAGACAAGATTCGGTACAGTAAACAAGACTTGTGTTTTGGAATTTTTGCGCAATGAATACATCACGTGATGTCTATACTTTTCAACTTTATTGCTCACTCATGCCCACAAGTCTCACACGCACAATAACCAAAAAAACACTCTGCTTGCCACTTTATTCTTTTCATTCTTATTCTGTGCAGCTACCAAAAAAGCTCACATATTGGATAAAAGTTGTCTTCTCTTACCAGAGACCTAAAAGTTGTACTGTACAAATATAACCACCAAAAAAGCATACCATTCATAGCCCTTTCTTCCCAATAAAAAAACCACAAGGAGGGGTAAAGCGGAGAGAGAGAGGCAAAACACTTGCAAACGCCACTATGTTCCACGCCTCATTCATGCAGTATATGCTAAAATGTGCATTTTTCTTTTTCAACTAATGCCCCCTCCCCTTTGCTCATCCTTAGTCATGATGAAACTATGCGGGTAGTGGTGGGCCCGGAGGACCCGAGCCGTTGCCACCGTTGCCCCTCGGTGGAGGCAATATGGCAGCTGGAAGGGGGTTGTCTGGTATTTTTATGGGAGAATCAGGCATAGCTTTGAGGCGGCCAGGGAGGTCCTCGCCCTTTATAACCTTGAGAATTTCTTGTTTGTCCAGGGTTTCGTATTGGACAAGCGCGTCGGCTAGACGGTCTAGCTCGGTGCGTTTCGATTGAAGTAGCTCTCGTGCGCTTGACTTCGCCTCGTCTATCAAACGTCGGACTTCGTCATCGATGAGTCGCTTGGTCTCGGGGGAGACCATTTCGTAGTTGGACTTGAAGTCGACATTACCAAGCTTGTCCGAGAATCCACATGCTGTGACCATGTTATACGCCAGCGAAGTGGCCTGTTGGATATCGCCGGAAGCACCGTCAGCTACGTTGTCAGCACCAAAGACGATCTCTTCTGCCATCTTGCCACCCATGGCCACTTGGAGCTGACGAATGTACTGCTTGCGGGTGTGGTGGTTCTCTTCCTGTGGAAGGAAGAATGTAATACCGGCAGCGTGTCCACGAGGAAGAATGGTCGCTTTGTGAACATCATTGAAACCCTTGGTGAAGAGACCAACAAGTGCGTGGCCACCCTCGTGGTATGCAGTGTGGATCTTGTCTTGAAGCGGAATTGTGCGTGTCTTCTTCTCAGCACCCATTGTGATTTTGTCCTTGGCCCATTCCATATCGTTGAGGGTCACAAACTTGGCCTGAAGCTTCGATGCGCGGATAGCTGCTGAGTTTGCAAGGTTCTCCAACTCTGCACCAGAAAATCCGGGGGTACCACGGGCAATAGAAGAGAGGTCAATATCGGGCGAGAGACGAATCTTCTTGGTATGGTATTTGAGAATGGCCAATCGTCCACTGACGTCAGGAAGCTCAACTTGGACATGACGATCGAAACGTCCAGGACGGAGAAGAGCCGGGTCTAGAAGTTCAGGATGGTTGGTTGCGGCGATAAAGATGACACCGGTACTTTGGTCAAAACCGTCCAGGTCATTGAGAAGCTGGTTCAGAGTTTGACGGTGGTAGTTGGCATCGCGGGATTTTCGCTTTCCGCCTACAGCATCCAACTCGTCGATGAATACAATGGCAGGTGCCTTAGAACGAGCAGCAGTAAAGAGTTCGCGGACACGCTTCGCTCCGACACCAACGTAGACTTCGTCGAATTCGGAACCAGACATGTAGAAGAAGGGTACGCCAGCCTCGCCCGCGCAAGCACGAGCAAGCAGAGTTTTACCTGTACCGGGAGGGCCAACAAGGAGGACACCCTTGGGCAATCTTCCACCGAGTTTGTTGTACTTGTCTGGATTCTTGAGAAAGTCAACGACATCCAAGAGTTCTTCCTTGGCTTCGTCGCAACCATGGACGTCACTGAAACGGGTGTTCTGCTGCTCCGGACGAACCTCAGCAGTAGTGCCACCACCAACCTTCTTGAGAACACCACTAGTCTCAACGAAAAGCGTAATCAGGACCAGAGATACGTAGGCAGCCAGAGCGAAACCGCAGATCCATCGGACCCACTTGAATATGACGTTCATCAAAGACTCCTCGACAACAACATAGACAGGGTCGGTCTTAACGCCACTGCCACCCTTAGTTCTTGCGACCTGGGCAGAGTTGGCGTTTGCTCCGAGAGCCTGGGTGATGGCCTGGCGCTTTTCTGGTGAAAGTCCTTCCTGAACGGCACCTTGCTGTCCAGTCTTTGTCAAGGCTTCGTTATAAAGCTTGTCTATGACATCGTTTGTGGCGAAAAGTCCCGTGTTGTACCGGTTGATGATGATTTGAGGCATGTTGGCGCGCATGAGTGCCGAGTAGAAGGAAGCCTGAGACGGTGCACTGTTGGGGTGCTTGTTGGCAGTCTGTTCCAAGCGGGCAAGTTGTTCATGAGAGGGTCCACCGAATAGCGAGCGTTGTTGTACGAGATTCAATCCAAGCATTCCTGGCTTCGAGAGCTGACGGAGGTGCGATAGAGGGCCGTTGCGAGACATGGTAGAGTATTGACGTGCCTTGATCGAGGCGAAGGGCGATGCGCTAGCAAAAGGGTTGCATAGTCCGACTCGCGATGCTGTATCACGTCAGTTGGGCCTTGTACCGGATGCTTTTGTTCATACTGACCCGAAGATAGCTTGGGGAACGGAGTAGCGCAAGTGGCGGACAAGGGAGCAGATTCGGAGTATTCGGAACGAACAGGCTGCGCGCATTGCTATATCCATATCAGTATGATGAAACGGGGTTGATGGACTGGGGTTTGCGTACATGCGCTCCTGCTACTACGGCAGACGGAGATGATCGTGAAGTATGAAGCTGACGGATGCCGGCAGCCATGGGCTTTCGCCCGAAGCCGTTCCAGGAAGATCGCAAGACAGTGGACATGGTTGGCCACAACTCGGTGGTGACAGAAGCGACGTTCTATGTATTCTCTATCAGCATGGGGCTCAATGACGCGATGTCGGGATTCGTGGCAAACCGTACCTGGACTGCGCCGGCCGCATGGAAGGCCATAGTGGAGATTGTGCAGCGGCAGAGGCCGCAGAGACTATGTGCAATACCAGATAGAGGGGTGAAGGATAGAGTTGCGCAAATGAAAGCAAAAAGTCGTGGCGGCGAAAGGCCACCGGACGTTGACGTTGATGTTGTCTAGAAAGAGGAAGAATAGGCCAGTGCGCATCGATCGTCTGGTCTTGGACCCTTGCATGACATCGCTCTCCGCCTCCCACCGTGGCTTGACACCTGGCGTTCCCACTCTGTCTTGGCAACATGTGTACATATGTACATAGTCCACCTCGGACTGTCATTGCTGGGTGCAGCATGCTCTTACAAGTATGGATAAGTCTTAGACTCCCATGCTCTTCCCCAGGATACCGGCGCGGGGTAAAGTTTTGCCTAATCGAGCGCATCTATGGCAGGCTGCGAAACCGGCGGGGCGCTTCCGTCCAAGACCGGACGAACAGAGAAACTATGCAGAAACGCAAGAGCGAATAAATGTTTGCTTGTATGGTTACAGGTAGGCAATGCTTGCTAAGTCTATGAATTTGCTCAAACATGGGCGCTGGAGTTCCGAACAGATACACCTCGGTTGGCGGGGTTAGGGAACTACGGCCATCACCACGCCTTGAGCATCTTATAGAGTTGACCTGATACATTACCAATCTTGATTTTGGTAAACAGCCATGGCATCTCCAAAATGGAAGAAATTGTATGAATATGCAGCATGCGACGTATGCTTATCTTGTCTGTCTCTATACAGTCTTCAAACAACTCACCTTGCATAGCTCGCAGATGGTCTACTCAAGCTCCACGTTCCTGGCGCAGGCTTTCTCGCCGACATAAGTATATCAGCCTTTGACATTCGTATGTAACAGACCCACTGAGTCGTGTCTAGGGCCATTGCTCCATACTGCTAGCATTCCGAAGCCTGAGCCGAGAAAGGTGCTTGCGCCTGCATCGACCTTCCTCATGGTCCCCAAAGCCACCAAGTCTTTCCCGGCCCCACCACAGATGCCAGGAAATATTCCTGCCTCCAATCTCTCAGACTCAAGGCCATATGCAGATTATACCGAGAATGGCACCATTGTCGTCATCAGCCAGCCACCTGATCAGAGTTGCGCCGTGGTGGGAGGCATAATGGCAGCTCGCATGCAACATCTTGGAGCAGAGGGCATTGTAGTAGACGGCCGCGTGAGGGATATCAGTGCTCTGAACCAGACCAAATTGCCCATCTGGTCCAAAGCAACATCTGTGATCGGGGCGGGGGCCGAGACAAAGTTTCACGCGCACAATGTGCCTGTGAAGATTGGCGAAACGATTGTCGAGGCTGGCGACATCATCATGATAGACCCATTCGAGAATGGCGTGGTCGCAGTACCGCAGACAAAGGTGGATGAGCTGCTCGAGCTGCTGCCGAAGCTGGTCGCGGCCGATGAGAAGGTTATTGCAGACGTCGGGAATGGAGTCAGCGTAGAAGAAGCCTTCAAGCGGCACCGAGGTTAGTTGGCTGGTTAGTATAAGTAGAATTCTAGATATTTTTCCAATCAGACATGAAATGTCCGCCTCAATGGCGACAGGATGCGAGAGGCCACTGAGAGGGCTCGCAATCAGATGACGCCCGCTAACCCAAATGCCGGGTCCGTGCACCGCCCATTTTCGCGATCCCGGGTTCAGAACAACGATTCAAGCTTTGGTCAAATCATCACCTCCAACCCTCCGCACCACCCCCATCCCAACTCGAGGACCCCCAATTGCCCCGGAGCATTCACAATGGGTATCACCGACTTCTTCACCGACGTCTGGGAGACCTTCTCCCACCCCTCGGCCGACGCCGAACACCCCGTCCAGGGTGGCACCAGCACCAAATCGCCCGCTTCCGGCACCGACGAGGAGAGCGGCGAGGAGGCCGAGGCCAACAAGCAGGACGCAAAGTCGGGCGGCTCGGAAGAGCAGGGACACAAGCCTTCCGAGGAGCCTGAAGAGGACGAGGATGAGGAGGAAGAGGAGGAGCCAGACCCAAAGGACAAGCTCGAGAAGGGTGAGTGACTCTGGACGACGCAGAATATGGCAGAAAACATGGGCAGAATCAATTGCCTATCGGATAGGGTTGGATGCGGTGCTACTGGATGGGCATGTGCAGGCATCCACTTAGGCCCAACGTATCCTCGGATAGCTGTATAAAAGAGACGCATGACTAACAGTTCATTGCAGAATGCGCCGAATCCAAGGAATGCCACGGTCCTAAGCACCACTACGATGAGTGCGCCCAACGAGTAACAGGCCAGATTGAGGAAAAGGGCAAGGCCGACGAGGACTGCGTCGAAGAATGTTTGTCACTACCACACCTTGCCTTGACTCATAGAGATGAGCTAATGCCTTATCAGTTTTCCACTTGGCTCACTGCGCAACCCAATGCGCCGCCCCCAAGCTCTTCGCTCAGCTCAAGTAAACCGATCTACCCCACAATATCCACTTTCCCATACTAGCGTATAGATAGTGCATCAGGGTCAGCCATTCGGATTGCGTGCAAATGATCAAGACATTATGGATGACTGTAAATACCATAGTCATGTTTAGAAATATCACTGTACTTCTATCTCTCCCTCTGAATCAAGCTCTACACCCAATTGCAACCAGAAAAGAAAGATTGGTTCTACCGATTGATTTAGGAATTTCACAACAAATTTACAGTGTTGAAATCTACGGATAATGATTGACATGTCAGAAACGATAGAATAGGGAGACCTGGGCACAATACAAGAAAACCCCGATTCCCGTTTTCCTCCATGATTCTTTGACACACCCTCCCTGGCGCATCCATAGCCTTATGAAGAGACTGCCCCATTATCATCATCATCATCGTCATCATGCTCGGAATCACGAGTGGAACAATTCCTCCCATACTACCTACGCACGCGAATCTTCCACCACGTCCCCATCCACATCCCTCGACAACCTACCCTCAGTAATACCCAACCCAACCCTCTTCCACCCCAGCGCTAGCGGTAGCGGCAAAACCCCCATCGCAAGCACCGCCTGAAAAACAAGCGCATTAAACATATTCCCTGGCGGGCTATCCCCAACCGATCCCTGCATCCCCCTCCCCAGCTTCCTCACAAGCTCCAAATCCACAGGCCGATCATCCTTCAACGCATCCATAACAACAATAATGATCGCGCCGAAAATCTGGCCGCCGACCCAGCAAATCGTAGAACTAACTTCTGGACTGGCAGGGAACGTGATTTCAACGAGGAACTCAAGCGCAACAGGGAGCAGAGAAAACGAGGCTGCGCCTAGCGCAGCACTAAGGATATACGGCGCAGCAATCGTACGCGTCTGCGGCGCCCAGATGAACGCTAGGTACGCAATTGCAACGAGCGGGGTGAGGATCTTGATGGAGCTGAGGTAGGCATGCGTGCGATCTACAATGGGACTGACAATGGCACAAGCGACGAGGCCCGTTAGGATGAGGACGGCGCCACAGATGCCGGCTTCGTCCTCAGAGTAGCCGTATGGATACAGGATTTGGTTCATGAGGCTGGAGAAGGCGTTGAAGAGGCCGACGTAGACGCCAAAGGTGAGGAAGACGACGTAGAAGGCTGGGGTGCGGAGCATGTGGCGGAGGGAATCTACAATGGGGGTTTTGGCGACGGCGGAGGAGGCGGCGGGGGGGGTGGGGGGTGCGGCGGGAATGAAGAAGGAGGGGATGCATGCTACGGAGGCGATGATGGAGACTATGAGGACGGTGGTGGGGAGAGAGCCTAGCTCTGGGTTTACGAGGGATGCGACCTTTTGTGGTGTTAGTTATTTTTGTTGCTTCCCTCGTTTTTTGTGGTGAACCAAGGAGGAAAGGAAAACTTACGGCTCCACCGAGAGGGTTCGCCATGCTTGCCAATGCCGTGGCTCCCACTCGCCCAGACTCGGTAAACCACATGTCGCTATATCGTGTCGGCGCGGCCAATACAAACGGTTGCGCCAGACCTGTCAGAATCTGGCCTGCCATGACGACCCCGAAGATGCCGCCGTTTGCCACCGTGCCCGCATACCTGATCCAGTTACCCGCTAGAAGCAAGACAGAGGCTGCGATGATGGATGGCTTGGGGCCGCGGTGCAAGAGGTAGATGGTGAAAGGGCATGAGACGCCGAATGAAAGAAGAAAGGCGGTAGAAAGCCAGTTGATACTTGACTCTGGTACACCAAAGTAGAGTGCCGAAGTAGTGGAAATGGGCGCAAATGTCAACCACTATGTTTTGATGTTAGTTTTCCACCATGTGTTAGAATAAGGTTGGTGTTTCGGCGCTTCCTTCCCCACGTTCGGGACAAGCCCGGGAAAAAGAAATAGCAATTTCCACCGCCATCTCCAAGATAAGCATGACAAGGGGAGATCTGGTACTGCTGACAGCGTTGCCCAGCCTTTTTGAGTCCCCCCCCCTTTCTGCAAACAATGAGGAAACGAAAGGGAAAGGTGTGCGATCAACTTACGTCCCAACTGATGACAATATTCAGCAGTACCAGCTGCGCCAACCCAATCCACCGTCTCTTATACACCCTGTAGTGCTCATGACTGTAACTCCGCCTGTGCCTGCGAGCCCTAAAGCTCCTTCCCCACGGCGTCTGCCAGCGCCTGCGCACCTCGCCTTCTGGGTCTAAATCGACAACCTCGCCTCTCGTAGGGCCATCTCTGTACTGGGATGCAACGGGCGCAGAGTCGTACTCGAAGTCCTCAGCGGAGAAGTTGGGATCCTTTCGCATCGTGTCGTGCGTTTGCGTGTGCGACAAGTCGTCCATGTTGACCGAGGCTCGACAGTGAGGACTGCGCAGTGGCATGCAGCAATAAGATAGTAGTTGTTCCCAGAACCCGCGGGGAACACACGACCTTGGCTTGTATGACAGGACGCCGAACTACTTTTCAGTGGCAAGGGAAAGATATCGATTGATGGTTGCTGGAATGCCGCCCACCCTGCGTTGCAACGGCGATGTCTCCGAATGCGAATGGTGAGATGCAGGTGCTAAAAGCACTGATTTAACCGTACGTATCGAACCGTCCTTTTATCAGCACGGGCGTTGGCTGGTTTGCCTAGGTTACGTCCACCAACGGCGAAACCCCTGCTCCTGGTATGCGGACTTTGCATACAAGGGCTCGCGTGCGGACGATCCATGTGTTACTTACACTGGGCTTTGCCGGCTAATCAGTGGGCTTTGCATGGGGAAGGGGGTCGACTACTAGTTCAGACGGCCTTGGAACCATGTTCAGGCCTAGCAAGTCGGATTGTGTATCGCGAAATGCGGCCTTGTCGCCCGAGCTTTCCATCCTTACCAAGCTTCAGCCACATACTTACGTCTTGTTGATTTATGGCATTCGCTGGTCATGCCTGCCTGTGCCATATACGAGCTGCATGTGCATCACGGGGTAACATTATCTCCGCTATTGCAATCGCCGCGGTTAACATGTGCAGGTACTGCACCATCCGACGTAATCCGCGCAACGAATAGCGCGCAATCGAGACGCATTTGGCTGGCAGGGGTGTTTTTTGGTGATTCTTGCGAAAATGGGCGACAAAGCTTCTAAGTATACTCGAAAGCATTCAAATCACAGGTCGAAGCGCCATGTGTTGTGCGCAAAATCACAAAACACGCACTGTTCTGTCACAGATTGCAATCCTGGAACAAATTGTTCATGCAAGAAAAATCCAACGAGAGCAAGAGAGAAATGCCGGCAATAAAGAGGACTCAGTGCTCGGAACAATAGTTGCAATAATCCGACCTAATGCTCGGACGGCGGAATACTTGGCAACCCGTTTACGAACATCACACCCTTCTGAGAAGCCACCCCGAAACTCTATATGCAAAACACCTTTCACGCCCTTTTACGAGCACTAGGTCCTTCTGAATGACGCATGTCACCAGCCGTTCCCAGCCCTATGCAATTTTGTTTTCCATAGTCTTGTTCCTGCTTAGCCTCGGGCGAGCAAGTTTAGGTCAATTCAGTATTCCTGTGCATAGGTACTGTAAGAAGCACGCGTCCTAGCTTTCTTGTTCTCTGTTCAAAGCTATCAAGACCCTCTTTTTTCTTATCTATTTCCAGGTACATACGTATTTACATGTCTAGTACGATGGCCTATGCGTCATAATGGCCGTTGTTCGCCGTTTCACCGGTCTTCGCAAGTTCTTCCATTTCAGCATGTCTCTTCGGTCTTTCTTCCCCGCAAAATTCTCGGGCCGTCGTCCGAAAACCTGGACGGCCTTGCATCATGTTTTCTTTTCGGCTTTTATATAGCGCCGACAAGGCCGTGGCAGGTTGCCATTCTTCAGAGTTTGAGCATGATTCAGGTGACGCAAGCATGGAGCGATTGCTTCGATCTTGATATATCTCTAGCACGTTGACCCATGGTTGATGTTAAATGCCGAAGGAGACTGAGTCAGGCACCGGTGGATCTGCGGCGCAGATCGCTTACATGTGGATTAAGATCGCGTAAGCGACAATACGTGGTTAGGTGGATCAATGCAGTAAGCAGTATCGACATCATGGGAATCACGATTGCGGTAGAAACGTTGTAGGGAGAATCAACTGCCACCCTTACTTTTGCGGGACAAGGATAGAATTACCGAACTACGTACTATGAGCTGTTAACGGCAATTGTATCTTGGGGACGATGATGACTGATCCTGATGACTGATGATGATGTTGATGCATGGTAAAGCGCAAAACGTCATATCTCAAACACTTCGATCTGAATTGGAAAGTATTACGAGCCAGCTATTGATTACGCATCGTCGCAGTATACATTGTTTAGTGATAGAATATGCATTGCATGATTGAATTCGGCCCTGAATTTTACGGCTATAACTTCTACTCTGCGGAGAAGCGTGGTAGGAAATGCTGTATACATACATATATCTGAATCAAGATGTACTTGTCGTAGGCCCAAGCCATCGGCTCTATCTATGGGTCAATAGTCTTCAAAAATTGACGCAAGATTATCAGAATTTCTTATCACTGATGCACGGTGGTGGTGAAGCATGGCCTATCAATTTTGAAACCGCGTAACCTTCTCGAGAAACGGGAAGTAATAAGACCTGTTTTAGTCACCACGAAGAAGACAACATTGACAGTATAAGCGATCTCAAATAGCCCTACAAGCTTTTCGGGATTGCTTAGAAATTTTGCTACCAAGTGATTTTGTTACCAACCTCGAGATGGTCGAAACTTCTTTCCATGATACATAATAATTCTCTGCTAGATCTGTGCCCAGGCAGTCGCTTCCTAGAAAATGCCGAATCTGCATTGTTATCATCCCGGCTATCGAGCTCTGTCAAAGCCAAATATGATTTAGAGTTATAAATTCAACATAAGTTTTGCTATACAAAGAAAGGTGGCTAGATTTCGTTGGCCGTTTATTCAATTCTCTCTTTTGTATGTATGTGTGGAGGAGATTTTCTCGCTCACTGTGGGAGGATTTGAGCCACACCCAGATTAACACACCCTAAGGCATCAGCTGTAACTCCTGCAAGGCTAACAGCCCTAACAAATAGTATTCCAGTAATCATCTCTTAACTAGAGAGGGGCTATAGTAAAGAATATAGTATGTTGGAAGATAATCCTATAAACAGACAAAACTAGGCAGTGTGTCACTACAATAAGGCCTAGCCTTCGCCCATCTGCACACCCCATGGGAGACTTTTAGATGGGATGATAAACATTCACATACATGTATATATATGGTTTGTCAGCCGGGAATCCGGAGATAGTTGGTCTGGCTTGAATAGGAAAGTTTCCTTTTTCATCAGACAGACAGGACTCTGGGTGCGGTTGAATTCCATAGTCGAATGTTTGCCCTGGTAGGAGAGACAGTTTTGCAAACTATACTGGGTCCAAGATGCTCAAGCTACCAACTTATGCTGCTATTTACTACATGACGAATCTGTTAAGAAAAAATTAGATCCGTCCCTCAGAGCAAAGAACCAAATCGACCTATCATATCTGAAATGAATGCCGCGACCAAAGTTGTCGACAATTAATCCAATGCAATATGGACCTCCGGACTGAATTAGAATGGATTGGTAATCTGCGTTGACTCTGATTGCAACCCGGATTGATTGTTGACAAGTATGCCCTGGGCTGAACGTGTGAAGGCAGGATTCGAAGAATCGTATTATCCATTTCTTCTCATGTCACCAAGCTATGTACGCAAATCAACTTGAGAAACGTTCTTCAAACTCCTGCTATTGACGCAGTATCAGTTAAACAACGAGGATTTATCATCAGTACAGGTTATCACGCTGTAAACTCTCTCTCCTCCTCAATTCCCCATTCGCAAAACCATCACCTGCCAAGTAAGCAAATATTCTGAGAGACCTAGACAGTAGTAAATACTTAGACATTGAGTCGGCGAGACAGGTGATCACAATATCTTGTCAGCCTTATGAACACACCGACTTATTTCACTCCCAGGGGTACAATCTCACCCTATAAAGTTTTCTCACCAACAGAGCATTGACTACAAGTCAGCACAGCTTCAGCACGACCATCAATCTATTTTTACTGCTTCAGTCGTACTACTGTTATCAACAAATAAATCCCCATACCCCCTTAAACTAGTAAACACAGTTATCCAGATCCCAGTGTCCATGGACCACAGCATTGTTCATCCAGAAGAAATGAGCTCCCTATAGCGGGATGTGAATGACAAAACAAGACACAATCGATCATCACAAAGCGCCGTAATATAACACCGATCGATAACACGTATGTATCACGTCCCCCCTTAGCGCCCAAAGATCATCATTGGCGATATCCTTCGACCCTTGTCCGGTTGCAAAACCCCACGTTATCAAAAAAGGTTGCTAGTCATACGTACCTCAATTTCACCTAACAGGCACCCATCCCTCACTTCCTCCCCCACACCTCCTTCCACTCCAAACACCCCTTTCCCACACAAATACACACCTCTTCCCTTCCCTCCCCTCACTCAATAAAAAAACTTATCTGAGAAGGGACGGGCCGTACGCACAGTACCCTACAGCTCCCCCGGATATTCTGTTACTACGTGTGTCCGTAAAAAAAAACCCTCCTCCAGCTACATTGAATTAAACTTTGTTCTTGCACACGACACCTGCACCACGCCTCTGCTGCCAAGATCCTCGGAATTTGTGATACGGAAACCCGATAGATGTCGGCATCCCTGTAGTTCTGTTGTGCCGAAGTAAGGGGGCGGGTAGAAGGTTGCGGGTCGGTTGTATTTCCGCCTTGTACTACACGGCAACGCACGGGTACTACGATAGCGTGTATACCGTATACGCATCTCGATGCAGATATTACTTTGAATCGCGCATCGGCGATTGCAATTGTGATGTGGGGTGCATCTAGCATTTACATCTTTGGGGGATCAAAGTTTGGTTTGGTTTGTTTTCTCACATGTGTCATGGGTAGTAGGTTGGAGTGCATGTAGCAAGAATAGTTGCGATACTCATTACGTTTGTTTTGCATGCAGTTTCCTTTTTTTTTTTCAAAACATCAAGAGATAAAAAGAGGATAGTGATTGCCATGACGAGAACGCTGATCTGTCTGCGGAGGCAACCGGTGGTTGAGGGGTAGTATGAGGTGAGGTTTGGGCTTCCGGATGATTTATTATTTGGGTGATGCATTTGTGGAGGAGGGGGAGGAAGAACGGTTTTGTGGCCATCGGGTTGACTACATCGAAGTGTGTCTTACTTCTCCCGTCCGACTCAATTGGTTGGTTTCTGGTCCAACTATATTTTTTTGGTCTGGTAGGTATTCCCACTCTTCTATTCACACAAAAGCGATATTCGGAGTGAGCGAGGTGAGGCCAAACCTTATTAACGTCTAGAGTCACCCAGATTCAGCCGGATTCAGAAGGTCGCCCCCAATGCTCTTACGCATTTTGCACCCTTGGCGGTTTCGTGCCCATGGTTCTGATAGGAAGAGATTGGGCACCATAAGTTAGTGGGCGGCGAGGTGAGGCGAACAAGCATTTCACACAAAAAAAACGGTCGGATGCTACGGTGATCAAAGTACCTGCGATATGCATCGAAAGCTACCAAGTTCGGGCGACCGTTCCGTCCCGTCCTGTCCTGAGCGGAGTATTCTCCGACTTGCTGCAAAACCAAGGAAACCACCTGTGAGTAAACATTAGCGCAACGGAATTCTCATCGAATTTTTCTTTCGATCGGTACCGCGATTACTTACATTCCGAGCCAAGTTTTTTAGCTACTAAAACTTTGTGTTACTTCTAGCACTTAGGTAACTTGGGTGTCAAACACTCAGCTCCCGTCTTCGTTCCTTCCCCCTAGTATAGCTCTAAACTTTCTATATTCCGTGTTGCAAGGCTACTAGACTAGTTCCCACCAGACTGACCTTAGAGAAATACGCCACTGACATATCAAAAAGGATCGGGGTCTAATTAGGGGTTAGCTAGTCGTAAGTTCGAGGTCATCTGGGAGAACCATCACAGTCGATTGTCACATGGTTTCGGAACTAGGTTCGGGTTCCAATTCCTTTTCTCCGACTACTTCTTGTAGGCAGATGCAAAACATTCTGCCCTATCAAAAGTGGAATTAGAGTTGTCGATGAGAGCCTATCTACTTCATTATGGAATGTGCCGTCCATCTTGTCTGGGCAGTTGGGGAAGGTGCGTCGATTTGCGCATTCATATTAGAGAGAAAACACTAGTCAGATTCAATTTGGAGTGTACTCCGAGTACAGGGATGTGCTGGTGTTTGATGGGAGAAGATGAGATGCGTCGATTAGGTTGTGACCTTCCATGGCCGAATGAGTGAGCCCCCAACGCACCGTCAACGACCAAGACCGTGTTCGAGGGAGCCGTCTGCACGAGGAGATTGCGCGTACGAACATCTTTGCATATTCGGTCGATCAGCCTTAAGTCAAAGTTGTCGAGCAGCTCAGATGCACGGCAGTTATTTATCTTCATGGTCTTTTCGCACATCTTGCCTGCTTTTGGAGATGATTGTCCAATCCTTGTCACAATTGTTCTTAATCTCCCCCCTCCAGCTCACGCCCGGGTCCCGTTAAGGCCGGTAAAGAGAGTTAGCATTGATAACGGCAGGCTCGTTGCTAGCATAAGGCCCGATCCTCGTGGTGAGACAACCCCGGTCAAAGGGGGGAGGCAAATCTCAACAAACCACATGTCATTTTGCCATCAGAGACCCTACATTGGTTTATCAAACGTCAACCGTCTCTTAGTCCCTTCTGGACTTTGATTCGCCTCGTGGCTATGGGTATGCACAGACATGTTCAGCTTGATATTGCCAAGAACGGTCCGAGTGTATGTAGTGAGACTACAAGGAAGATATTCGTCACTGGGAGGAGGAGCAAGGGAACACTTTGCTGGGGGTTCTTTTCGTCTTTTGAAGTGAATTCGGCTCTATTCTTCGGACTCAAGGGGACCCCAGGAGGGGGTTATGCCACGGGATGTTTGGTTCTCCGAGGTATAAGTATTGAACAGCCTTCAGTGTTGAAGTGGACAGACTCAGTTCTTTCAGATATCATATCAAGAGCTTCTTTGTACTCAATCCATTTCTTCTCGTTTCAATCGCTGAGGCGGCCAGCTTTCCTTAAGTGGTACACCACTTCTTCTACAAGATGTTGGACACCACCATCCACAACGCTTCACCATGGAGTGTCTTGTCAGTGGCATTGTTCTCTCTTGTCGTCTACCAGGCGGCAAAGATGATCTACAATGCCCATATACACACTCTACGAAGCATCCCCGGGCCCTGGATATCTTCTGCAACTACACTCTGGATCCGATGGCAGAGATGGCACGGCCGGCTCTCCTTGGAAGCAGACAAACTCATGGCACAATACGGTCCTATCGTCCGAATCGCCCCCAACCTGGTTATTCTGAATGATCCAGAGTCTGTGGAAAGGATCTTTGTCAGAAAGGACCTCGATACATCACCAACCTCAATCCGTGCTCTACGTGTCGGTGGCCATGACTGGACAGTCACCTATCCCCAACACGATATCGCATGCCAGCGACGCCACCCCGTCATGATTGCAACAACTACCAAGAGCCTCAAGGCATCGCACCAATCCTTCGTCGATATCATTGAGGACATGGTACGCGATCTCGGCGCCTCCGAAGGCACAAAGTCCGAAGATATCGTCCACCACCTCCGCATTTGCACACTGAAAAACTCTCAAATCATCATGGGCGGCTCCGCCGTCGACCTCGACACAAAGGACTTCCCCCGCGTCGTCGGCGAGTACAACTTCCTCGTCGTCTGGCGTCTCTGCCTCCCCTCATGGCTCTTCGAATGGCTACAATACGTCCCGATCTTCCCGCACGCCCGCTTCCGCGTGCAATCCAGCGACAAGCTCTTTGGCCTCGGCGAAGCCCTATGCAAGCAAGCCGCCCAAGCACCCCCCGAAGTCACCAACAGCACCTCCGACACAAACGTACACAACCTCTTCACCGACCCCACCGCAAAATACCCCACGCAATCCTCATGGTCCAGCCCCGAACTCGGCGCCGAAATGGCCGGCCAAGTGCTCGCAGCCACAGAAACCACATCTTCAGCACTAGCCTTCATCTACTACGAGCTCGCCAAGAACCAGCAGCTGCAAAAGATGCTGTACAAAGAACTCATCGCCCACGAGGGCTACGAAGACCTCGACAGCCTCAAACTCCTCGACGCATGCATCAAGGAAGGCCTGCGCTTCCGGCCCCCTGTAGCCCTCACAGGGAGCCGCTGCATCCCCAAAGGCGGTCTCGAAGTCCTGGGGTATTACCTACCCGCAGGCACAGTAGTAACCACGCAATCGCTCTCCATGAGTCGTCAGCGTCCCGATCTGTTTCCGGATTTCGATGCGTATAACCCGCTGAGATGGTTGGATGAGGATGACGAGTTTAGTGCGGAGAGAAGGAAACTAGTGGTGCCGTTTGGCGTGGGTGCGAGAAGGTGCCCAGGTGGCAATATGGCGACGTATCAGATGAGGCTTATTCTTGTGGCGACGATTCGAGCCTTTAGGATCACGTTGGCCCCGGAGACGACGCCGCAGGCTATGGAGCCGTTTGAGGCGAACGGGTATAGGTCGAGGCATGATCGGTGTGATTTGATCTTTACGCTGCATACATCGTAAGTTAGTGAGATGGAAGGAAGATGTGGGTTGTTTTTGTAGTCTTCTTTTTCCAATGCAACCTTAGATTTTGACTTCTAGTCTGACTTCTTGATGGCAATCAACTCTTGTTTCAACTCTTCCTAGGTCAAGTGTAGTTACGACACGATTACACACCAAGCCAGTGCTTCATTCATTGTCACTTCATCATTTCTCTACACCACCTTTCTAGCCAGTTCGCCTAAGCGCCTTCCGCCCCACTACTCCTCATCCTCCTCATCATCCCCCTTACCAACCGGCGGCGGCGGAAGTGGAATACTAAAATCATCCAAACTCGCCCATTGGCTACTCCTATAATACGCACCTTGTGTCATACTCACTATAGGACTACTCCACTCCTCGGTTGCAGCACCTGCTTTCCCCGGGCTGGGGAAACTGCTTGGGATGAAAAGGGGAGGGGGTTTGCCCGGCGAAATAAAAACAGGTTGGGAGCTAGCGATGCGGTGAGGAGTAGTGTGTGTGCTTGAGAAATTCTGGGTTCGCTTGGTACGAGGTGTGCGCTGCGTGATTTCATCGACAGTGGTCGCTTGGCTGGGACGGTATCCTGATGAATGGTGGTGGTGGTGTTGTTGTTGTTGTTGTTGTTGTAGAGGTTGTGCGGTGTTTAGAGGTGGTAACGGCGTGGCGTTGTAGCTAGATGCGTCGGGTATGACACGCAGGCTGGATGATTTGGAAGGCCGTACATTCATGTACTGTGAGTACGAGAGCCATTCGTCCTGTAGTTGCTGTTCTGCTTTGCTTGAATGAGATTCTTGAGTCTCGTGCTGCGGAGATGGGGAGCGGGGGACCTGGACGAATTCGCCGTCAAGGTCCGTTGATTGATGCATGCCGGCTGATACAGACTGCAGGGAAGGTCGCCTGTCCAATTGTGACGGATTTGGCTCTTTTTTAATTGAAATCTCTTCATCAGAAGAATCTTCAGGCATAGCCATAGGGGTAGAAGGGAAAGTGTCCTGGACGTCTGCTTCAAGAATCGGTGGTGTTGAATGAAGCTGGTTGGTTTGTGTGGGCACCTCAGTCCCAGTACCTCCAGGCTCTTGCTTGATCCGAGTTGGCTCATCGTGGTAAGCTAGATGATCTTTCTGGATAATCCACTCGCTTCGAATATACCGTTGCTTATGAACGTCTCCTAATTCGGGTGAGGGCTCTTTGTGGCCTCGGAGAACAGGAAGACTGTCTGGTTCCGGCGATGACTCTGGCGAGACTGTACCACCAGTGTCGTTGGCCTCGGCACACGCGCGATCAATTTGGTCAATCATAGATTGAGCATCCGTACCAACACTTCTACCCAGTGCCGAAAATCCCACGTCGTCAAATTCTTGCTTGGCTCGTTTAGGCAGAGGCGCGTCTTCTTCAATGGTATCATCATCTTCATCTTCGGAGTCCTGGATGGTGCTCTCAAATCTCCTCAGTTTTGGTGGAGGTATAGGAGTCTTAGACGGCATCTCAAAACTCACTTGCTTCCGCTTTGACGGAGTTTCTACAGCATTGTTGCTAGAGTTTTCCGTGCATTGCTTTAGCGGCGACTGATTCAGCTTTTGAGGGGTGAATTGAGTGGACAGCGGCGAATCTGCTGGTGATTGAGAAGATGGTATCTCACAAACTCGTCGCTTCTCGGGGGTAGACAGGAGACTAAATCGGGCCTTGGCCGACCTTTCCGATTTGTATCGAACAGACGAGGTTTCTCCTACTTTTGAGGCCTGTGTGACCGTATTCCGTCGAGTCACTCTGCCTGATCTTCTGGAAGGAGTCTCAATGAACTGCGTTGGCCTATAGCTGTCGTCACAATCTTCTACTGATTGCAATGCGGACTCGATCACGTCTTGCGAATCTGCCGTAGACTGATGCTCCTTTTCTTCAATCAATAATGGTTTTGCGTCTTCGTTAGCTTTTTCAGTAGTCACCACCGCACCATCATTGCCCCCTGTCTGGTACAAGCCTTGCTGTGCGAGTCGCCATGCCACAGCATGGCCATAAGCATGACCGTCTTTATCTTCGGCTTCAATACTGCTAAGGGCCTCATCCATATCTTCGTCTGACATTATCTCCAGCGGACGCATTCCAGGCACCATCTGTGTCAGTGTCCGCTGCTTCTGATCCTTGCTTCTCTTGACACTTTTGCCCTTGCCTCCCCAGCTCAAGCGTGATGTCTTCTTGACAGGCTTAAAATCAGGCTCTTCAACGCCTGGCAAAGGTTTTCGCCCATCTACCAATTGCGTCATGGTTGACTGCCTTTTCAGCGCGCGCTCTCTATCCATCTTGTTCGCCTCATTGTCAGACGTGCCCTGAATGCGCCGTGTACGACGATGGCTCTTTGACGACGCAGATTTGGATTGATGCTTGGGTTCATGTGGAGTGGAATCGTCGTGTTCGCTATCTTGCTCTTCATGCATGATACCGGTACCTCGCTTCCTGCCCTTCTGCTTCGACTTGTCCGTAGTTCTCTCCTCCGCATCCTCCTCTATATCTGTGTCAACATCCTCACTGTCATCATCCGAGTCGCTAACAACGCCCATCGTCTGCCTTCTCATCTTATCTGGCAGGAATACCATTTGTCGCTTCTCCTGATTATCGCGTATGGGTGTAGAGCGGCGGCGCACCGTCTTGCTCTTGTGCGGGAAGTGTATTTGCTGCGGTACTTTTTTCGAGTAATACACTTTAAAATCGGCTTCTCGATTGCTGGTTCGCGTGCGAGGCGTCATGGTGCAACGGGTGGCGAGCAATCGACAAGATGAAACGTCACAGCGTTGGAGACGCGAACGCGTTGAGGGGCCACTAGCGCGACATGATGCCTATGGACCATGCGTCATCATCCTGGACCGCATCCTGGACTGCAACTCAAACGTCAACCCGTTAGTAGCAGACAAACATTGAACACAAGTAGATAGGATTGAGTCATGGGTCTTACTATGGAGGATTCAAGTACCTTCATCTCCACCTCTACTGTCTGGTAGGCAGTTGGATGGACGAGAGGCTAGGATCGAAGAGATGAACTAGATAGGCTGAAAACTCATCTTGGATGATGACCTGCTGTTCATGAACGTTCCCGTCTAATACTCCAGGCTTGGACGATGGTTTTTGCTCAAGGGTTATTAATAACCCTGTGCACCAGCAGAACATCAATTTAATCATCACAGTTATCATATCGACTACTAAGCATCCTAGTATTACTTTGACATTGTACCATGTTGCTATACATTCTACTAGTAAAAGCATGTTGCTTGATTCTTCAACTTCCATATTGACCGCAAATCTAAGTCTTGATGAAGCAAAATGAGGTAAAGCTTGTGAAAACATAGGCATTATTAAACATGCCGAATTAAAAACATGAAAACCCAGATTTAGGGGCTGGGAGAAAAGACTCCACACCGCAAGGGGATGAGGCAGTTCATGCCTTCTCCGATAGTTCCTTGGGTTGTACTGGAGGTGTGCTAGTTCCAGTTATGGAAGCGTAGCGAGCATTATCGTGTTCCTTCTCGCTCTGGTGAGCAGAGTCGGAGTTGTAGCCGCTGCCAGCAGGCGAAGGCTCACTTGGTGCTGTCTGGTTGCTGGCTCCAGCCTGTTGCTTCTCCTCCTTCTGCTTCTTGGGCTTGGGCATGCGGACAAGGTAGTAGAGGGCGAGGGCCGCGAATACATTGAAGATGATGTAGACCCAGAGGATACTAAAAGAACAAGTCAGTAATGTTTTTGATACAATGTTGGTCTATAGCTAACTCACCCAAAGTTACGCCAGTAGTCTTTGTAGTCGGATGAAATGCTCTTAAGGAAAACATTGGTATCTGAGATGGCACAAAAGTTGCAGTCGGTGGTAGCGTTTGCGTTGGCCACATAGCCACCATTAAGGTTAATCCAGGGCTGCATGTATTCGCCGCAGGTCTGGCCTTGACCTGGTTCGATGCGAATGAGTTCGTTTTGGGCGCACTGTACGCGACTATTGGCGAGACCACTAGACAGCAGACCAGACACCATGTATGTAAAAGGTGAAACACGGTACATGAATATCCAGAAACGAGGAAATGTCGAAGGCTGAGCAAGGACACCACAGAAGATGAGGCAGAGCGAGAACATCAGGTTGGCGATGTTGCCGCCAGTCTCTGCGGTCTCGACACCGGCAATGATCATGTGCGTGAAAGTCGATGTGAAGAGCAAGAACAACCAGACATAAAGGAATACCTGAAAACCGCGGAGGGTGACTTTGTCGGTCAACTCGGCATTCCTGTACAGACCAATAGGATAATACCAGCAGAAGAAGATGAGCACAGCCATGAGTGAGTTCCACGGAAGTTCCACGAAAATATTGGACATCATGAAAGCCTTCCAAGAATAGGCCTTGCTGGGTCGCTCGCGAACCTCATACAAGGCGCGTTGGGTGACAAAATGAGGCATAATCTGTTGGAGCAGTTGACCAAAGATGGTCAACAACATGAAAATACCAAACATTTGATTCTGGAGACCGGCTTGGGTGTTGGGCATATTGTAGAGCGAGAAGCCGATAAAGAGAGCCGACATAACACAGAGGAAGATTTTGGAGTAGATGTACGAAGGGCTGCGCCAGTATTGTTGAAAGACGCGAACGGTTGTCTCACGGAGTTGGACCATGAAAGGTGCGGCGAACTCGCGATAGGCAGCCTTGTCCTCTCGTTTCTGTGCAGACAAGGTACGCTCAAGAGCTTGAGCTTGGCCACGTTCCGACTTGAGCTCAGCGAGATGACGCTTGACCTGAGCATACTCTGCGGAGTTGCGCCATGTCTGGTGCCAGTCAATGTCGGTATGCGAACCAGGAGCAGCGCCAATTACTTCCAACATCCATTCGGCCGGGTTAGCATCAGGGGGGCAGGCAGGGCCACCGTTACGGACAAAATAGTCAACAAGGATACGCGAGTTCTCGCCGACATCTCCATAGTAGACGGTTCTTCCGCCACGGGCCAAGAACAAAAGACGGTCGAAACGTTGGAACAACATGGCACTAGGCTGATGAATGGTACAGAGAATAGCCTGGCCATTCTTCTTTAGCTTGTCAAGAAGATCCAGGATAGCCCAAGATGTTTGAGAGTCGAGTCCAGATGTAGGTTCGTCCAAAAAGAGAAGAAGGGCAGGCTTAGCAGCTAGTTCCACGCCAATGGTAAGGCGCTTTCGCTGCTCGACATTGAGACCTTCACCAGGCACACCGACAACTGCATCGGCATATTCGGTCATTTCCAGTAGCTTGATAACCTCTTCGACGTATTGAACCTTTTCTTCACGAGGTATGTGCGCTGGTTGACGTAGGACAGCAGAGAAGATGAGGGCTTCACGAACGGTCGAGGTGGACAGATGGAGATCCTGCTGCTGGGCATAACCTGATGTCGAGTTAGTGGATATTTCTTTTGAGAAAGTAGCAGATGCTCCGCTACAGACAAAGACTCACCTGTTTTGCGCTGGAAGGAATCGTCACGTGGTCGACCGTCTACCAGCATTTGACCTGTAATTACACCCATAGTTGTGCGCGTAGCCAAGCAGTCCAGAAGAGTTGTTTTGCCAGCACCTGACACACCCATGAGCGCAGTCAAAGTACCGGGTTTAACCCACCCATCAACGTGGTCGAGAATGCGGCGAGGTTCCCCTTTGATAGTGATGTCGTAGCATACGTCCTCCCATTGGAAGATGGCAGTCTGGCGTTCGATGATGGCGATATCGTCCGAGTCGTTATTCTGCGCCACAACGCTGCGGCCAGGATCAGCAGATTCGAGGTCATCTTGTGACTTGCTCTTAGGAGCAGCGAACTTGTGGCCGCGACGGAAAACAAGAACTTCACCCTTGGATTTCTTAGAAGTGATAAATTCCGTACCAGCAATATAGACCATCATGAGAGCGATCATGAACGCCCAGAGAATTCCAAAGTTGCGCCATTTGTTCTTGGCATAGTAGTCGAAAGATGAGTTGATGTAGGCGTCTCCCTCGACGTATGGCTGCCCAGGAACGGATCCAACAGCCTGGCAGGCTCGCTGTGCACCGGATATACCATTGTATGCGCTAACTCCGGCAGCACCAGTGCTGGTAGGAATATAACTTGAGCATTCGAATTGCCTGTTGTGGAACTCGTTGACCATGAGCGATTCGAAGCCATAGCTGACAGGGTTGACGCGACGAATCCACTTCGACCAACCCCGCATGTAGCCCGGAGGGATAGCGAAACCAGTATACATGACAAGTCCCAGAACGAGTATAGCAGCTGGCGCCAAAGCCTGATCTAGAGAGCGGGACAAAGCGGCAATAGACCGGAAGAACATGGACATTGTGAGGGTGAGTGTAAAAGAGATGAGGAGGAAGAAGAAGAAGTTGCCAGGTTCCCTTCGGAGATTGGTCATAAAGTAAACGACCAAATTAGTCGTAATAGCATTGATAATCTTGTAAGGCATGTCCGTCAGCATACTAGCAAAGGCTTCGGCAGATGGGTGGTAGAGGGCGTAGCGCGAATGCTTCTCAACGATCGGACGTTGTGCATAGAGCGTCAGAATCTCAAGAGCGGAACCAAAAGCGTTCATTAGGATGGCGAAGAAGAGTAGAGCTGACCGAGAAAAGAAACTTGCTGTCGTCTGTTTCATATTGTAGAAGACGGACGAGATGATCAAAGACATGATCATGTTTGCGACAATCTGGGTCAGGGTGATCGAGGGGTCGGCTTTTAATCGAACAAAGCCTCGCCATAGGCAAAGCTTGACTTGGCCCATGTAGGTGAGTGTGTAGGGAGATGCCTCGCGTTGGCCTTTTGCCTTTTGAAGTTGGCGAGACTGCTTGAAGCGCTCACTGGACTCACCGCCAATGGGGTACTTCTGCTCGTAGGCCTCAATGTCTCGAAGCAGGGCTGCTCGTTCAGGAGACTCGGCCCAGCGCTGTGCAAACTCATCGGGAGTGCGTGGGACGCGGTCCTCGAATCCTTGGCGGACAATACGCTCCAAGGGGCTGGTCATGGATGTCAGAAAATCAGCGTCAGTCTGGCGGTCTGGGCAATGGAAGCCCATGTTTACGAAGTAAGACTTGGCTTCTGTCGTCTTCCCAAAGTAGATTTGACGGCCCTCATAGAGGACAAGGGCCTTGTCAAAGAGATCGTAGGCAGCCTGAGGGGCTTGGTAGATGGCGACGCAGGCAGTGGTACCATTGATCTCACTCTCCATACGGAGGGTTTTGCAGAACTCGATGGCGTTTGCAGAGTCAAGGCCTCTGGTTGAATTGTCCCATGCTTGTAATGGTGCTCGGCTGAGGGATGCTTCAGCGATAGTGACACGCTTGCGTTCTCCACCAGAGACACCACGGATAAAATCATTGCCAACACGTGTGTTGATGGTGTGAGAAATGCCGTACAGAGCCATGATGACATCACGCTGGTGCTCAGCGTATGTTTGCACGCTGACGCCACCTGGGATGTGTCTTGGGCGACGAGCTTGAGCAGCAAAGTAGAGCGTTTCTCCGACAGTCATCTGGGGAAAGTGAACATCGACTTCGGCCGTGTAGATGGCCTCACCACGATAGTTCTTGTTCATGAGCTCTGGGCTGATGCCTGTTGGTTGTGAGCAAATGAGAGAAGTGGTGGTAGAATTGAGCAATTGCAAACTTACCCTGATAGTTCATCTTTGAGTTTTCGTCGACGAAGAAACCGTGTGTCTCGCCAGTAATGGTTTTCAAAAAGGTCGAGCAACCGGACCCAGGGGGTCCCAGCACAACCAGCATCTCACCCGCTTCTACCAGGCCATCCAAGTTTCGTAGAATGTTGATCTTGCGGCCCTTGTTGCCTCTGAGTTTGTTGTAGAGGCCGACTACTTCAAGCCAAATATTACCAACACTCTTTTGGAAATCTGAATCGGTACCAAATCCATGGACGTTGAGGTCGCGGAAGGCAATGCCAGCGGTTCGAATGGGTGCAGCGTTCTCGTCTGAGAGTTGCAGATTGAGCATGGCTTTTGTCCAAGCACGAGCGTTAAAGTTCTCTCCATGGGGATCTAGAGCGGAGCCAGGGGGTGCGTTGAACGGGTTTGCTTGTGACGATGATTGCTGACTCTGGACAGTGAGGCGTCGAGCGAGTTGGTGAACTGCATCTTCTCTCCTGTTGGTCTCTGCGATTTCTTCGGCATCACGCATGTTGGCGGATGACCTCTTGTAGTCCGGGTGGTGGTTGCGAGTGGGTGAACCCTCTCGAGCTGCTATGGTAGAGGCGTCTGATTCTGACGTCTCGTGATCCCGGTTGTCGTCATGGTGTTGTTGTTCACTCATGGTGGGCGAGATGTCGCCGCTCAAGGGCCAAGTATAGTCGATGAAATGTTGCAAACAGAGTAAGGCTGGAGAAAGGTATTAAAAAGAAGGTAGTAAGATTGGGGGGAAAGTCCCGGAAGAGTGATAGGAGACAACAAGGGGAGACGTGCATGCTAGCTAGAGCTGGAGGAGCAGCTAATAATGTAGCCCCAGGCTCCGGCCTAGTGAAGGATTTGGACCATTGGGCTGGGCCAACGTATGGATCGTATCGAAGTCAGGACATTATGCCGTTTTGGGTGCAAGCGAGCATCCAGCACCCTGTCGTCGGACCAATACTTGGACAAAAAAAAGCTCTCGGAATGTTAGACAGAAGGCAGCACCTGTCGTGCCGAGCTCCCTCGGACAAATTGCGCATTTGCCTGCACAACATGCCTCCGACATGTTCGTGCGGCTCTGGTATCGCTGCCCCTGCCGTGCCCCTGCCGTGCCCCTGCCACACGGGCGGGAGAATGATTGCACCATGTGCGTACGGAGGTGCCTTTCAAAAGTATTGTCTGACGCTAATCTCGGCGATTCGGCGCAACTCTTCTTGGCGC